TCAGATTGTCCATGTAAACGAGGTGGGATAACCTGGCAGGTTATTTTATAACCTGGCAGATTAAATAATAATAATAATTGTTGTTGTTGCTGATGGTTGCACAGTCAGCCAGATGTTTAGACTGCATTTGACATTTTTATCCACCTATCGAGTTCTTCCCTGTGGGATAGGCAGATGTTGTTATCTGATGGTTTTAAAGGTATCCACAGAATATAAACTGTTCCAAGTAAAGCTGCCTTTTGCTATCATCATCATCATCATCATCATCATCATCATCATACAATGCTTGCTAAACTATGGTCACAGTAATTTACTATACTGTGCTTGAGTGTTCTGCTAACTGTAGCTTTAGATAACCTCAATAATAACTTGTTTTAAAAAGGAAACTGAATAACAGAAGATCAAGTGTCAAGGAGTACTTTACCATAATTTGCCTCACTCTGCTGGCACAGTATGCTCAGCTGGATTGCAGAGTGAAGGTAAACATGTTCATGTGAACCTATATCAATGGCCAACTTCCATATCATTCCCTTACTTCAGATTTCTGATCAGGTGTAGCACTGTGGTAACTAATTCAGAAAGAGTTAGATAAAACTCCAAAGATCCAGTCACATTAATTACTTCCCATGGCTTCATTGACTCTTCTAAATTCCAAGACTGAGATAATATCCCAGAGAGGCTCCACAAAAATAAAGCCTCTTTAAGAACTCCTGTCTCTGTATCCTTAGTTTTCACCTCCCTATACCAGCTACACTGGTGTGTATGAAAAAGGAGTAGAAAGGGATGAAGTGAGTAAGCATAACAGTGGTACTGATCCTGGTCATACCACCAATCCCCCCACCCCACCCCCTGCTCCAACCCCCAAGAAAGAAAATAAGGGCACAATGTAGAGAGGGAAGTGGTGATTTTCTATCTTTTGAGGCAACTGGAAAAACTAAAAAATGCCCACTGGATGACAACCCAGGCATCCTATATCTATTGACTCAGGGAGGGGATGGGTTGTTTATATTGTGTGAACACAGCCCCTAAGTAGTTATCACTGGCAATGAAATAGTGAGGAGAAACTTACCACAGTGCTACACCTGATCAGAAATCTGAAGTAAGGGAATGATATGGAAGAGTGGTTAACACTTCCCACAGAGAGGACATGGCTCTAAAGATAGCATCAAAACTGGGATTGTGCAAAATAATTCAAATTTGAACTATTTTGTACACCCCTAGTCAAAACCCATAATAAGCTATCTTGAAAATGTTGAAGTGACTGTGCCTTGTGAAAGAAAGAACTTCTGCCCTGCAGACGTCAACTGTTCATTTATACTGCTATATGTGTACCTAATTTATGAATGGTGAAATGTTTCAAGCACTTATCCAGGAATTAGCTTCATTAGAGGGATATCATTGGCGGGTCAGAATATTCATTTGAACATATTCTCACACCCTGAATGATCTGCGAATTGTGCTGTCTTCCTTTCTCAACGTACCTTAATAGCATTGTTGTAACCATTGCTGTTGACATCAGGTGTCACACCAGAAGCTGCCATATATGTGCTGCCAATGGTTTTGATCTTGGTGATGCACCGGAACTGGGGATCATCCAGGAGCTGTGAGAATCAAAGAGATCTCATACCAAGAATTACTACAAGGATCAATAAATCAGTCAGGAAAGTAGATCTGGGATACTATGTAGCTTGATCTTACAATGTAATATTATACATGTCTACTGAGAAATAAATCCTATTAATGTAACATATACCCAGATGTTTATACAGGACTGCAGCCTTCCCAACCAATGGCCTCCCCACTGCTATGTGTGCCTGATGAAGAAGATGGTCTACAGATGCTCCCCACATCATGAAGCACATACTATAACCAATAACTTGAGGGAAATATGCTGTTGTATGTATGTTAGATTTGCATGCTTAAATGTTGTTAAATTGCCTAGAGCAAACTGACAAAAATGTATCAGTGCAGTAAGTAAAGAAAGGTGATATGTGGCATGGGCATTTACTGCCAAGGCTCAGATGTACAGACTTTGAATTCACATGATCCCATCTCCCTTTTGGGAGGGGGAGGGAATTGAGGAGTGAGAATTTTTGATATAAAGTGATTAGTGACAGGATTAACATACATCAGTTCCTCTGGTCTCTTGCAGATCCAGAATGCAATTAATGTGGGCACACCTGAATATTTCAAAGGAGGCAGCAGATTTTGTCAACTCTGCTGGCAACTGGCCACTGTATGCCTGCTTTGAGCTGAACAGCCTACCTAAAGCAGGACTGTGGCAGCTTCTTCTTAGGTAAAAAATCATACAGACACCTTGACTTAGCAGAATATGGCAAGTGAAACCCTTCTTAATCCAAGCATTTGGTGTAGCAGCTGCAATTATATGTATTCTTGTGAAATACTAACACTATCAATGCTTTGATAAAAAACTGTGCCCCCCCCCAAAGTTGCATTTTATTGGGGGAAAAGGAAACACATAGAAACAGTGAATCTAATCATACATGTCTCATGAAATTCACAGTTTGATCTTATTATTCCATATGAGAGATGGTTTGGGCAAAATGACACTTGAAAAGAAGCCTCCCTTGCATTGGATAATGGAATTGTCATGTCTGAGGACATGGGCAATTCCTAAAAATGTTACTGGTGCTAAAACAAGCTGATGATTTCATTACAAAGTGGTTCTTCAACATTGTTTTATTCTTGTGGATCACCTGTAAACTGGTTTTGAGAGAGTGGCCTGGCACATAACTTTTTTTTTCCCTTCAGCACTACCACCAAAAGCAAGGTATAAATTGGTAAAACTGAGTTGTGTTATGAAAATCTAAGTTGATGGGCGGAGAGACATCAATACTGTAGGTAATTTTAGGGCAAAATAACAGATTTCAATACTGCTATATAATGAAACTCATAGTTCCTGAGAAGGGTCATGTTAGCTACCTACTCAATATTCTTTAATCTTCTTTGTCAGTAGAAAGGTATCAAGGACAGATATTCTTGACAATTCTGTGCATCACTGAAATGGAACTCATGGACCTCAGTTTTGGGACTTCTGCATTATAGGTTGCAGACTTAGTACTGTATTACCATTCCATTGTTCCAGTACAGTGCTAAACATGCAAAATAGATTCCAAACCTGAGTTCTGATGAGTTTTGGTTCAAACTAAGTTTCTTGCCCTGCTATTTCCCAATTCTTATTCCCTAAAGGCTTCCTAAGCAAGATTCTTACCAGTATCACAAGCCTGTCATCACCCAGTCCCTGCCCTCTTTTTTAACTGCCACTGAATACAGGGGATATTTTAGGGAGGCAGCCCAGAAGAAGAACTGAACACAGGAAGCATATCTCTTCAAGGACAACCCTTAGAATATATAATTGACTTTCTTTGGGTCAACTGATCAAGATGACTTTTGGTACTGATCAAAGATGACTCACCGCATCAAAATCTGAGATTATTTCATTGAGGAAGCGAAGGCACTCAATACCACCATTATTTATACTTTCCTCTGTATAGAAATCAGCAAAGTTGGGGAGGGAGGCAAACATAACACCAATCTCATCGTAAGACTGACTATACAGCTCCTACAGAAGAGGGCAAGAAAGGAGGGGAAATTGAAAGAAGTAGATAAAGGGTGCTTCTGCATTCAGGCATAATTGCCTTCATTCGCTCCTTTGTGCAGTGCAGTCTTATACCCAATCCCATCTTGTAATTTCCACATGTCTTCTAATTTTTCTCAGACCCACAAAGTTAACTTTTTCCAGGAAAAAAAAAAGATAGGAAGAGTTATACCTGATTTTAGGCTACTCTTCTATCTTTTTAATGGGTTTGATGTGCACAGTAAATTTATGAAAATTACTATTATTTATTTACTAATATATTTAAATTTATTATATCCACCCACTCCAGTAGACTCTGGGTGGTTCACCAAATACATGAACAATAAGAACAATTAAAAACATACAACACTACAGGCAGCCCAGACTAAAACAATCATAACAATAACAAACCACACCTCAAACACATCAACCCCAGGCCTGTTAGAGACCAAAGCCAGGTTTTAAGAGCTTTCTGGAACCCCAGGAGAGAGGGTGTTATCCATACCTCTGGGGGGATGCTATTCCAGAGTGCAGGGGCCATGACAGAGAAAGTACACTTCCTCAATCCTATAAGATGATGTTTAGTAGAAGGGACCTGGAGCGTGCCCACTTTGCTTGGGCTGCTGCATTTTGTACCAGCAGTAGCTTCCCAGTGGTCTTCAAGGGCAGCTCCATGTAGAGTGCATTGCAATAATCCAGTCATGAGGTGACCAGGATATGAGTAACTGTCTGAAGGGCCTCCTGGTCAAGGAAAGGGTGCAACTGGTGCACAAGATGAACCTGTGCAAAAGCCCTCCTGGCCACAGCTGTCACCTGTTCTTTGAGCAATAGCTGCAAGTCCAGAAGGACCCCCAAGTTGCACACCAGTCTTGAATGGAGAAATGCTATCCCATCCAAGACCAATGATAGAAATATCCCCAACCCTGGAGGGCCAAACAGCCACAGCCACTGCCAGGATTGAGCCAAAGTCTGTTCTGTCCCATCCAGATCTGAACAGCCTCCAGACACTGGGTCAGTACATGGACAGCTGCACCAGCACAGCCCGGGGTTCATGTATAAAGCTGGGTATCATAAGCATACTGATGATACCGAACTCCGAACCAGCAGATGACCTTACCCCATGGTTTCATGTAGATGTTAAACAGGAAAGGGAAGAGCATCAAGCCATGAGGCACTCTGCAAATGAGGGGCCATGGGCGCAACCTCTCCCTCCAATAAACGCTAACTGAAACTGACCACTGTGGAAGGGGACAAACCACTGTAACACAGTGCCTCCCACTCCCAACACCTGCAGCCGGGCCAAAAGGATACTGTGGTTAATGGTATCGAAAGTCACTGAGAGATCAAGGAGCACTCCCATTCCAGCTCTGCCAAAGGACAAATGCAACCAACACTGTCTCCATGCTGAAACCTGGTCTTAAACCCAACTGAAACAGGTCCAGGTAATCCATTTTCTCTGAGATCCTCTGTTAACTGTTGTCTGACCACCTACTATACAACCTTCCCCGCAAAGGGAAGTTGGGGACTGGATGATAATTGTCCAGAATGGAGGGGTCCAGCAATGGCCTCTTGAGGAGGGAGCATACCACTCCCTCCTTCAAGGCCAGAGCAGACATTCCCTCTCTCAAAGAGGCAGATATTACTGTATGGATCTATCCCTTGGTCACCTGCATACGTTCATTATAAAATGTGTAATAGGTTTGACTTCAAACATATTATCATTTTTTAAAATTATCTGCTAGAATGTTTTTTAAATGAAAGAGGTATAACATCATAATGCTATACTTTTCATTCTCACTATAAAATAAAATCTTATTTGGGGGAGGGGATATCATAATTCCAGAAAACTGGCAGGAAGGAAAAGGTACATGGTTTGGGGATATTACATTTCCCTGAAGGAGGCAACAGCCAGCAGTGTCTTTTATCAGCTTTGGTTAATACACCAACTGCATCTCTTCCTGGAAGAAATTTTTTTTAATGTAGTTAACACACTGATTATCTTGGTTACTGTAACATGATCTACACACTGAAGTATACTGAGTTGCTAATCACAGGCTCAATTGAATTCTCACTTTTGACTATTATCCCCTAAACAAAACAAAACAAAAACTTGCATACTGTTTTGGCCATGAACTCCTTGTTTGCCAATGCGTACCTCATCTCGTTTCTTAGAGCCAAGGAAATGGCGTGCCACGTGCTCTGGCAGCATGTTGGTCACCAGAGCCTCATTCCAGCGTCGCATCTCATATACACGCTCCTTCTGGTTATGAACATCAATCTTCCATAAGAATAAAGTCCTAGCTAACTTTTCCACCTGCAGTGGGGGGGGGGGGGGATGTCACTGTGATAATGTAGCCTGATGTAATCTGAAATCCTAGGTTAAATGCACCTTTCCTGCCTGATTTCCTGCAAGGCATTGTAGCAGCTTAGAATAATCTCTTCGTTTTACCTCCTTTTGAATCTTAACCATGCTTATTTTCTCTGTATGCCACAGTACTAAGAAAGGAAAGTTCTAATACACTTTTTTGCTCATGCCTTCCTATAGGCTTTTCAATTTCCACTGCAATTCCTTTCTGCTGCCATCTACGTACTTTTCTGGAAGCCAAAGAAACGACAGAGCAACTTCTCTGGCTGACAGCTCTCACTCTACTTTTCACAGTCCCATATCAGAAATAACTTTAACTGTTAAAAGTGAGGTTGTCCCACTATCTTAATAAAGCTCCATTTCAGGAAAAGTTTGATCTTGTCTTTTATTCCTCAATTATACCACAAAGATATGCCATTTTCTTGACTAAATCAACCAATTATTCAAACTGCATTCCTTTGTATTTAGAAAGCATATAATTTCTACATAGCTGTATCAAGCAGCTTCTCATCACGTAACACAGAGCTAGGATTGCGGAGTGAAAAAGTCCAATCATTCATATTCTGAACTGATCTATCATCTGAGGGCAAAAAAAAAGTACATACACACAGAAACACATGTTCTGAGCAAGAACAGGAACACTTCTTAGGCTTTTTTTTTTTTTTTGGTGCTATGGACCAGTGGAATCCAGAACTGTTGGATTCCAAAAGAAAGATGAATCCTCAGTTTACAAGAATAGGGACATCTTTGCCATTTGATTTGTCCCCCAATTTGACTAGAAAGATCACAGTGTATGAACTGAGATGCAAGCTAAGATAGAGAGATAAGGCATCCTGAAGCTGAATACTGAAAAATACAGAAACACAATTATCCTAAAAGAATTTGGTGGCAAACTGAGCTCCTAAGCTGTCAACTGCCTAAACTAGGAAATTCAGCCAACTACTCACATGGCGTGAGAAATAGTAGAAACTGAGCATCATCACCAAGATCATCGCTGTCATGGAATACTTTGATGGAACTAGTGAGACCCTGAAAGGAACAGCAAATGAGCAAGATTCAGAGTTAGAAAATTTGAAGGGGTGAACTACACATTCAGCCAAGTCATGTGATCAAGATTTTCCTGAATTCTGTTACTTCCATCTGCAAGTGGAAGGATCAGATTTTAAATACTTTACACATAACATAAAATTAATTTCTCTATATAGAAAACAAGCACACCAGGAAGAGCAGTTCTGTCAACTGCTCTCTTATGCGAGTTTTCTACACATAAGAATATTTGAAGGAACATGCATACAGAATTGGGCTGCCACAACTGCAATGGAAGTAGCATAGTCTGAGAAAGACTGTCTGACATGTTAATTCAGCTGAATACAGTATGTAATTCAGTTCTGACTTCATCTAACAAGCAAGGAATCGTCATGGGAATTTAGGGGTATTTTACACATAGTTTCATTGAAGGTGCTGTTGAAAGAAAAAATAATGCATTGGAGAGAGCAGAAGACAAAACTAAGTTTTGGGACTCTCTGCATCCAAAACGTGTCTTCGGGAACTCAGAGAACAAAAAACCTTAGCATTATGTCCAAAGCTATGTGTATTTGGAGTAGTTGGACTTTCATTTGAGCTAGGCTGCCCTTTGCAGGTACATATTGGCAATTTTACAATATAAAATGACTTGACCATTACATTTGGTTCTTCCATTCACAAGCTTCTGAATATCTCTTCTCCATTAATCCCTTCTCCTTTGTTGCCATTATGTGTGGAGTTCCCTTTCACAATATTTACATAGTGTCACCTTGCTCTCCTTCTTCCTTCCAAATTCTTTATTTAGAAAACTGCAGGCTTTAGAACAACACATAATTGAATGAAAGGCATTTTCTTCTTCTATCTACTTGTTATATTTCTTCCAGGAGCTCAGGATGGTGTATACAGCACTTCCTCCTCCTATTTTTCTCCACAACAACAATTCTGTGAGGAAGTTTGGGCTTTGAGTGAGCAGTTGACCCAAAGTGACTCAGTGAACTTCCACGGTTCCCTGGTTCTAGCTAGCACCTTAACCAATAGACTAGCTTCCTCTCTTTTTCTTGTAACCTTCTCCTTCAATGAAATTTAATCACTGAATCTGTGGAATATCTTCATGTTACTCTGTGAAGCTCTATACTTATTGGTGGTGTAACATAAGTTAAATTAGGTAACTAATTTAAAAGACCAATGCATACCAAAAGTAACAAAAAAGTGAGTTAATTATTACTAACCTGTGAGTTTTCAATTCAAATATGGCCTATGCCCAATATTACCCTAAACATTTGCCCATGACATTTCTGACCTCAAAGCTTCTTACATGTTCTCCTGGAATCGTTCCTGATCATATCTGTCAAAGATCTGTTGCCAAGCCAGAATGTTGACCACGCCCACTGCCCCTGTGATCATCACCATCAGAGTGAGCTTCACCATGTGGCTGACTTGAACCAGCATTATGGTTGCAATGAGTGCCAGCACAGCTATGTAGCTGTAGTACTTGGGATTCTCCACACAACCACCTGGAAGCACTGCTGGAACTGTATCATTGACAATGGTGTAATAACACTGCTGGCAGCTGAGCTGTGGAAGCAGAAGAAAAGGGATGAGGCTGTGCTTCTCTGCTTTCAACCATCTTATTTTCTAGTGAAGAAAAAAAATCTTTCTAGCTAAAACAGGTGTAAAATCTGAAGAACTATTAGATGCCAGCAAAGGGATACAGAAATCATTAAATCTCTTGTGATCACCTAGATTTTTCCAACCAACGTATGCTATCCCTACATATCCCATCCCACTAAAATTCTTTGGACACTCCATTCTTTAGGGGCTATAAATAATACACATAAGCAATGATCATGTCAAGTAGTTTCACCAGCTATGACTTCCTAGTATAGGCACAATTACCCCCATTTCTGTTTGTGAAATACATCACTGAATGTTCTGTATTTCTAGCCCACATGCTTGGTTAATGAACTCTACTCTGGTTTATTCACACGTGATTCAGCACCTCAGAATAGGCTAAAAATCTGAAAATGTCTTTTATGTTTGCTCTAATTTCTCCCAGTGTATGTCCCTGAACTCAGACAAGTAAACCTGGTATAGAACACATACATTTAATATTTTAATTTACAGCCTCTCTTTCCTTTTCAACCCTTATTTTTAATGCTAAAGTTATCCCTATCTAACCATTCATTCAGACTGGTAAAGAAGATAGAGCTATCTCTTTATGCTTCATCACTCCCAATCTTCTTGTAAAGGCTCTTCCATATTTATCATTATTTTTAGAGTACATTATTGTTTTTTCTGAAATCATATAACTTCAGACCCTAACAAGTTAAATTATGATTCATAAATAAACAATCAAACGATACATAAATCATGCACCCAACTCGTTCCTTTTGATCTTTAAAAATAGTCTGTTCAAGCTACATTAAAACCTCCCAAATCACCAAAAAGAACATTTTAAACTATCAAAGGACAAAAAAGAGCCACAAGTGGGCAATCTGAAGCCTTGTCTAATTGATTTTTAAACCTGGGATATTTCCTGATGGATTAACAAAACCTGGAATGATTCTACCATTACCAAGACACCATTCCAAACATGGCCAGCGGTGGACTGGAGAAGGAAAAAGCACAGCAATAAATAATCTTTGTGTCATTTTTTTCCAGAGAGATAGAAAGAAAACCAGAGCTTTCACTCTCTTCCTCCACTTCTTTTGCAAAGCTCATCAAAGTTTCCCAGCCTGGAAATGGCAGTATTTCCATATCAGCTTTAGCACAGAAGAGTTCAAGGTCTGGCGAATTATTAACAGGTACTAAAAATAATCAACTGCAGCAGGCTTTTTACTAATTTCCCTTAATGATTTCCCCTGTACAGCTCTTTAAACACTTATCAACTCAGCCAGAAAAAGGGAGTTCACAGTAGGTGTCAATCACATGTCATGCAAGACAACCTAGGAAAGCGGGACGGGGCGGTTGGGTGAGATTTTTAGCTTTACTGTCCTCTCCTGCCCCAACTTGGAACCATTGGAAATGTAAGACTGGAGAAAAGGCCAGATTAGCCTTCTGATGTTTTGCCTCTTTTCTCCCAAGATTTGCTTTTAAGGAAAAAGTATTGGAGAATGGATGAGGAGGGAGCAAGATACAAATATTAACCCATTCTCTTATCTGTCTATTAAAAATCAACTTCTAATACTTTTTCAATTTTTTCTCACCTCCAACTAGAAAGCTAGCAGGAGTGGAAAGTTTATGATATAAATAGTGGAAAGTGAAAATATGAAGCCATTTTCTGCTGTTGCCCCTCTTGTGATTCCCATTACAGTCTATAGCCATGACTGCTTTTCCCTCCAGAGCACTAAGCATGGTATCAATTTCTTTCATTCTTTATATCTCCAGTCAAGTATAGAGTTCAGATTTAGGCTGCAAATATCTGGGTGGCCACTAGATGGCAGCAAGGAGTTACAGTTGTCTAGATCTTTTGTCTGCCATCCAAATTTCTGCAGCTCAGCTTTGGTAGCTGTTCTCAATCAGATACTTCACAAACCTATGTGAGCAGACAACGATGGCTCTAGAATATCACATTTGCCAAACTTCCCTCTTCCCTTTATCATTTTCAGTCCATGTATGGCTGTTGGGGGTATGGGGTGGGGTTGATGCAATGGCACCAAGAAAGAAAAGTTACCTTTTTTCAACCCTTGCTTACCATATCTACAATGTCAGCCATGGTTAGGATGAAAATGGCAGACATGGCCCAGGTGTTCCTGGCCCAACGAGTTCTGTCAATCCACGTGGAAAAAGACACAAGCTTTTTAGGGAAAACCTGTAATAAAAACAAGACACTATTTCTTTCTTTATTTAAATGTACTATAGCTACCCAACTCTGATGGACTAGGAAAATAAGGAACATGTTAATTTCCTATGGGGAGCAGAAATGGAAGGGAGACAATAGCTAAGTAAAAGCACCATTCCTTTGCATGCAAAAAAATTGGCCTCAATCCACAGCATCTTTAGCCACTTCCCCATTGTATCTTTTAGGGTCATCCATTCATTTTTGTCCCAAATACTGCCCAAAATAACAGTCATGAGGAAATACTTTATATCACTTCAGTGATGGCTGGGTGATGCTATGAAGACACTATAAATCACTGGTAGGAAAAATTGCCTTAGTGCCTTTTTTGCAACCCCAGAACAGCTGCCAATTACAACAATTGGTGATACTGTTTTCCCAGATTTTGAGGAGAAAACCGTGAAAAAAGGAAACCACAATCCTTCCAAATTAAGAAGACTATCGAACACCCTCACCCTATCCATATGAACCACTGCACCCTTGAAAACCTCCAGAAACTGGGCTATTTTTTCTATATTGAAAGGGATTTAAGGGGCAAAACGGATGCCTTAAGCTGTTGCAACACAAGTTTTCATTTTTGCCTCTTAAATCCGGTCAGTTAAAAGAAACTAATAAAACTGCATAACAAATATGGCTGTGCCTACTCAAAGTGATTTCACAATGGCACCATCCACACTCAAGGTAGAAAGTCAGAGCTGAAAATCCACACAAATCCACATACACATACATACACACAATAAGCGAATATGAAGTTCTACTATTATAGTTCAGGTAGAGCTTGCAATAAGAAATATTGTCATAGAAACACAAATACTGCTGGCATTACGGTGGAAAAACTTTGTATTGCCATTGCAGAATGGCAAAGGGCTAAGATTTCTATAATAATTAACAATTATGTGTAATGGAGGGGACCTTATGTTGAAAAGCTCTTACCCTGGGAAAGATGGCAGCCAGTGAACAAAGGGTCAAGATGAGTAGAAGGATCTCGCCAATAACGAATGTCACATAATTTGCTAGCAGCCTGCAACAGAGTAGGAAATAAAGAGGAAACCACAAGATATTAGCAAAGAGGAAGGTCAAAGATCAATATTTTTATTCTGATTGCAGAGGCAGTCAGATTCCCTGCTATAAAGAGTATTTTGGCACATAATCTTTGGCATTATTTTATATAATTGTTTCACTTTGCTTGTTTGCCACCTATTCCTGAAGGCTCTGGGAAAGTAATAATGCTGACAGAAAAAGTGGTGACCCCCCCCCAGCCCCAAATACATATAAAAAGATAGCAAAAAAGATAAAAATGAAAAAATATATATAAATGCTATATGCCCACAATCCCTACCTTCATGTGCCCACCTACCCTCCTCTTGTCCAGGACAAAACAGGTCGATCTTCACAATTGTTCTAAAGCCCAAGAGGCATGAAGCTGACCAAATTTCTGCCAGAAGGAATTCAAAAGAGTAGGGATGGGTACTGAAAATGCCTACTTCCAGGTGACCATTTTATAGTGATAGGGCCTGGAGGGACTTTACCCAATTTGATCTAGTTTGATGGGCAGATACAAGAAAAGGCAGCCCTTCAGATAACCAGGTCTGGAGCCATATAAACCCTTAAAGATGACAACCAGCACCTTAAATCACACCTGGAAGCCAATTAACAACCCACACAGCTCTCAAAGCAGAGAGGTCACTCAGGTATATCAAGACACACCCATCACTGCCTTGGCTGGTGTTGTAGAGGGCATAGGGAATAGCCTTGAAGGGCAGTGGGAAGATCTGTTACCAGGGCAGCGATCAGACAAGCATGGCTTAAACCATTCCAAGAAACAAACTTAAAAAAATGCCTCAGATGGCACCTCCCTAATTCACATGAAGGGAGCGAGGACAGAAGTACATTCAGACTTGCAAGATTCTGTTAAGTGTTCTAATAAAAGTAGTTTTAGACCTATATGGCATTGGTTTCTTAGTCTGGTTTACCCTAAAGGGCTGACAGGTGCATTCTGTACCAGCTATAGCTTCCAAATAGTCTTTAAGGGCAGCTCCATGTAGAGCATGTTACAGTAAGCCAAGTGGGAGGTGATTAGGAGCATGAGTGACTGTGAGCAGGGCTTCTTGATTCAAAATTGGTTGTAATGGGTGTATAAGATGTAACTGTACAAAAGTCCTCCTAGTCATAGCTCTACCTGCTCTTCAAGCAGAAGCTTTAAGTCTAGGAAAACTCCTAAATTTCAGACTACCTCTCAGCTGGGGAGTACAACCCCATTCAGAGTCAGGGATTGAATTTTCCTGGAATCATTAGGCCTACAAACCCAAATCCACTCTGTCTTGGAGGTATTCAGTCAGAGTCTATTTCTCCCCATTCAGACCTTGTCAGCCTCCAGGCACTGTGTCAGCACTTTAACCACATTACCTGTTCAGTCTGGTGATGAAATGTATAACTGGGTATCATCAGCACTATTCTAACAGTCCTGTATGAAAAGGGCACAGCTCCACAGATCTAGGTACACTAACCGTGGATCAATGAAGATCTCCACCAGAGCAGTGAAAAATAGGACCACACATGAACAGCTGAAGGCAGCCCCACTCTGCTTCTCCTTCTCCACAGAGTAACGTGTCTCCATCTCGGGATCAATGAAACGCATGGAGAGGCGATAGGTGGACCTGCCTTTTAGCCTGTCAGATATTTAGGACATATGATCATCATCTAGGACATCTGAGATTTTTTAGAATACTAGCAAAACAGTAGGTCTCAGTCTAGTTCCACTCAATCTAGTTCCCAAGTCATTATGCTTTTAACTGTTCATTGCTGGGGGGAATATTCTGCTTATGGACTCCCTAGAACATGATTCAGCCTTAGGAAGAATGCTGGGCTAGAAGGGCCTTTGTTCTGATCCAGCATGGATCTTTTTGAATTCCTATCTGGGCAAATAGAAAGCCGTCTTTTACCAAATGAGAATGGCCCACTTATCTCAGTTCTGACAGTATCTCTTCAAGGCCTCAGGAAAAAGCAGCTGTTCTGATCACTGTTACTTATAAGGCTGCACTTGGTATCTCCCGAAGCAATTATTTAAAATTCCCCAAGTTCCTATTTGCTTTAAGTCCTCATGTTTTATTTTGCAAAACCCCCTTATCAGCTTAAATTATGACTGAAAAGTCAGCTGGCTATGCTGGGGATGGCTTGTTCTTCAGTTTTATACAAGCATATGAGGACTAAAGGACAGCATATTCTATTAAATACTGTGTGTGAAGAACCTCAGCTGTTTATTTCAGGGACTGAGACCAGATGATGGAAACATTTTCTGAACCTAAGTAGATGACAGTCCAGTGATTGTCTGGATGGGGGCCAGCTGGGAATAAACACACAAACACACAGAGAATTTGCAGCCTGAGTTGTACAAGAGAGAAAAAGCAGGAAGTAAATACAATAATAAAAGCAAATAAAACAAAGTCTCCAAAATATTCTTTCCCACAATGCAAAATAGCAACCAAAGCAGGACAAGGACCTGAATCACTGGTAGAAGTCTGAAACCACAGTAGTGGACATTGTGAAGAGTAAAAGTTTCTATGTGATATTCAAACTGGCTGGTAGAGGAAGAGAGAAACATTGGGATGGAGCAAAAGACACACAATTAGCTCCAAGGTGGAAGGATAGGAGACATACGCCTGCACAGATTCCCTCTCCAGCAAGGCCTCATTAAGCAACTTATTGAGTTCCTGCTCATTCTCTGAAGCATCCACCACTCTCTCTGCTAAGTCACGTAAGCGAAGACGCCTCCGAGGGTTGGGAAAGGAAGGATTCACTACCTGGATAGAAAAAAAGGCAAATAAAAAGTCCTCATTAGAATCTGGAGGATAGAGAATGGGCAGTAGACAAGAGAGGCCAATAATCATGCTCTTGGACCAGCCAGTCTCAAGCTGATGCTCTCAGGTGTACTGAATTACAATCCCTATCCATTTTGTCCAGCTCTGCCTGGCTGGGCAAAGAACAGAATAGAAATATCCAAGTTCTTTGGGACAGAGTATGGTACCCTGGTCTCTTGAAAACATGTCAAAGGCACTTTCTCGAAAACTGCTCTGGAATGTGGGGTTAATCCCAAATGCCTCTTTATATCAGGTAAACTGGTGGGTTTGCTCTCTGCTGCCTCCTCTATTCTCCCACCTCCCCAAGGAGGTTCTCTTCTAGCGCAGCGTAACTTCATCTCTCTTTTTGGGCACATGGACAGACTTTCAAACAAAGCATTGAACTACAGCTGTTTTTTAAACATACAATTTCCCATTTAATTTTTAAATTAAAATAACCCTTTAAAAAAACAAGAAACAAGGAAGGGAACAGTAGCCATGTTGCCACACATGGATGCCACACCAGGGACCTAAGCAATACATCCACATGATCAAACAAGAATTGTACAGCATCTATTATGTTGAAACAGACAGCTGAAATTAACAGTTGGAAAAAATAGTTTGCATTGGAGAACTTTCTGCTCAGACTTGGACACTTGGCTGCCACTCACTTGCCCTCATTGCTATTTTTACCTATCTTACTGCTATTTTTGTTGCAGTTGGAGCAGGAGCACATACTTCTGAATGCTGAAAGTTGATATATCTTATCCCTCTTGTATGTCATTTCGTCATGAAACAATGTTGCGATTTTACACGCACGCGCACACACATTTTTCTGTGTGATGTGCAAAGAAAACATCTTTGCAATGTTTTCTGATTCTGGAAGAGGTACACCTCAAGTTTTTTTTAAATGTATTATGCAAACTAATAAAAATACAAATGCAGAAAATATTAAAGTATCAACCCCACTACAAACTCAATTACAGCAATAAAGAAGAGGGAAAGGGACTAGAAATCTCTTTATAAACAAAATATTTGTAAAACGCTTTACCATATTATGTCAGAATCATCTTCTTTGTCCCAAAGACTAATTAAAATGTTGGCAAGCAATAGATATCAGCAACTTATGGCAGCAAATCAAGCATAAATTTCTCCTTCCAATTACGTATAATAATCCCTTTAACCAATCCCCATGTTCCAAAATCCACAATTCTATTGCTTGATAGATTCCAAATACTGGGGATATACTATGTATCCTTAACATACAGCAATTGATTCAGAGTTATCTTAGCAATCCTGTTAACATTAGCCCAAAATGCAACAGTACTAGGACAAGTTCAAACCATGTGGGTTAATGTTCCAACTTCTGTGTTACATCTAAAACAGCAGGGTGATAGTAAGCAACCTGTATTAAGGCTTCAAGTATATACTAAGCAAAACTTTACACTGTATTCTCTTATTTTAAGAACATGGGGAACTAATTCATGTTGTTTAAGGCAAACCACCATTAATGTAGCCCAGTTGTAAAGTACATTCTCTGCATGCAAATAGTTTCTTGCTAGTCCCAGGTAGAAGTGTAACAGATGGCACAATTCAACAGGCCTGACTGAACTTCATACCAATCCTCATCAGAGGCCTAAAGGCAGGCAGGCACTTATTAGAGGGCTTCTTGACAGTAGAACTCTCTCATATTTGGAACTTTGTTAGAAAAATTAACCTGATATTCATTCTCCCTTCTTCTTTTATATTTCTTCCCTCCCTCCCAACCTGTACCCAGGTGAAGGATTGTTGTTGTTTTAATTGGCTAATGCTGGATTTACTGTGCTTAAGCTTTTTGTTAGTTTTTATTACCTGGATAAGGTCAGCTGGTTATTGATTCCATTTTAATTTTAAAGATTTTATTTTTCAACTGCATTTTAAAATGTACATTACCTTAGAAGGGTTTTAGTAAAAAGCACTTTTTTTTAATCCACAAAAACTCTCAATTTATGCACACATGCATATGTACGTAATTTCTATATTTTATACATAAGCAGCTTTTTTTGGAACAAATTTCAATGAAGTTTTTGTTTATTTATCTTTCTCTATCCATCCTGCCCCTTTACCCTAGCATCCGATTCCTCTGCTTCATCTGGGGTTGTGCAGGTGGTATTAATGCTCCCATTGCATTCTTTGGTGTTGATCAGTTGAGGTGAGTTCCCATGGGAGGATGAGACAGATAACTTCTGTAACATGAAACAGAAAAAGAGACAAATGAGCTGAAAGTGCAAATTTCTGAACTCTTCCACAGCTGGGAAAAAAATTGGGTTTTGGAAAACAAGTAGCTGCTAGTACACTAGCTTTCTGCAACATATGCAGTCTGATGTGTCAGGTACCAACTATCATAACTCAATAAGCCAAGATGGGGGCATCAAATTGGGCAACCAAATTAGGCAAGCCTGTTTTACACTATCACAACCCTATCTCTTTCTTCCTCCCTTTTGCATGTATAAGCATCATACAGTAGATCTATTATAAAATGTTGTGGCCCCATCCCACATTCCCTCACCCACCCATAACACTAAAACCTAGACATTCTAATTCTTCAGGCAGTCAAGATTAAAGGAACTACCTTCAAACAATTCCAAAATAGAAACTGAAATTTGATATGAACTTGGATGCCATGGGCAGAGATTCACGAAAAACACAAACACCACCTACAGAGAAAAGACAGAGGCCTAAACAATCTTGTACTTAACATGCTAATTTCCTATATGGAAAGACTACTTTATTTCTTTGTACAGAGGAACATTCAGTCATCTGAGACCTCAGCTGAAGTAGTGCCGTACTGGCATAGGCTAACAAGTTCAGTGAAAACAAGGCCAATGTGAGTCTCTGAAGACTGCCATAATATCAAGATCTTGATGTACCCTGGGACTGCTACTCTGTGTCACAAAGAGTCAGAGAAAGCTTTCCCAAGGGGTATTATTTCTCAGTGGCATTTCATGACAGCCACAAGATATGTTTCAGTGCTAAACTCTGAGTCAAGATCCAACAGATGCAGAACTATGCAAGCACAGCAGTCTGGTACAAGCCACAATGAAGTCACATGCAGCATAACATCATCACACAAATGATACAAATTATGTAATTTACATCAACTGCATGATAACATAATGATGCACTTGCCCCCTCTTGCCAACACCCATGAGCTGAGCAAGATCAGAAAGCAAGAACTACACAGATTTCACTGAGGTATCTTTAATGTATCATTAATCTTTAAAGTTGGTAAATACACAATTTAAGAAACTTCATAGAGAATCTCCACTCCTCATTTATAGCAAGTTCATTAAGGCAAAACCTTATAAATGATCTGAATTGCTTTTTTCCCAGGTTTCTTGTCACCTGGGCTCAGCTGCCATGTATAAGATAAGCTATCAACAGGCTCACTTTATATATCATGATTATTTATGTCTATTCTCCTTTCCATTACTTTCCCAAGCTCCCCACAATCTTTTACACATGTTCGCAAGCCTTGTTTTTATGTTCTTTCCCAATCACATGATTCCTACAGTCTCACCCTTGCTATTAATGTATCAATCCTAGCTGTAGTATCTCTCCTGTCCTGTCTTTCTCCTATTTATCAAAACAGATTCTAAGCTCCGTGAAGACCTATTCTCTGAAATCCAACCAACATAGAGAAGATGGTCACACCATGTGACAGCTGTCAATTCAGTGGTAGTTGGGCTTCACCACACCTCACTAGTATAAGGGCACTTCTTCTCTAGTTCTCATATGGAGAAAGGGATCCTGAAAGAGTGCATACCTTTCCCAGGTAGAATTAAAGCTGCCACTGATTATTGCTTTTGGAATTCCACCTTTGAGAAAAATATATTTGCCCGTGTATTTTTGTAGATAAGAAGCTTTGCCATTTGACTTTAATTGCCTGATTAATATGAGGTGCTAAATACTTGTTTTTCCTCTACTTTTATAGGCTGCATTTGATCTCACTATTTTATGTTATATGGCAAAGTAACTGATTTTTATATCAGTAATCAACTACTCAGGATTATTTTTATGAAAGTCAAGATATATAATATTTAAATAACCAAACATATAAACAATAAAACATCATTAATAGCTAAAGAGCAATGATTGAAAAGGCAACAGCTCCGAACTAACTGGATAGCACTATTCAGGCAATTCCAGTAGAATCCAAGGCATACATTAGCATGCAAGATAGTACACCCTCAGCTGAGGATCATACCCAGAGGGAGTTCAAAGCTCAAACCAGTGTCTGACTTACAAACTGAAACAATGAAGAAAGGACTTTCTTTAAATATGAAAGCGATTAGCCATAGAACAAGCTATTTTAATTCCCAGCTTAATGGAGAATCAAACTTATTAATCAGTTCCATTGATATTGACTCTAAATAAATGGAGGTGTATTGAGATTTAGAGAGAAGCAAACTGGGATAGGAATACACTTGCACTGTCAACTCCTGGAATAGTGACTAGGAGTATAAACTTCAGGGCTACAAGTTATCCTGCTTTTAGTGTGGAATGAGTGGTTAAATCAGACTTGCAAAACCCAAACCGGTACTTTAAAGAACTATAACAATACTGCTTACTAAAAATGAGTTGCTACATACAGCTAACATCTTTTTCTATTCCTTGCTGAGAATGTTTTTTCTAGTTTTATACACTGCCAAGAGTCCATTGGAGTTGGATAGCTAATAAATTGTGATGGTTCTTTGCTTTTCAAGGACTGTACACACCACTACATACCAAATCTGTACAAAATGCTTTCTTGCAGCACACACCTTCCCCAACAACAGACTACTACCCATCTAAGACTTGCAAGGTGATGTTGCCATGTAAATATGTCTTTAATACTCAGTCCTTTGATACTTAGTTCAAGCAAAAGTCTCAAAGTCTGCAAAGTGGCATACAACCTCTGTCTTTTTCCAAACATTCTGCACTAGTTGGGATGAGGTGCTGCCTCAGTGTGGTTGTTCCTTTTCTACTTGCTACTGAGCTCCCAGCAAAGGTTCAGACACCAGGCAGGACTCCCACAAGGATATGCTGCTCACCATAACTTGTGGTCCTGGCAGTTGAATGATAGTCCTCTTGCCTGCTTATAATGCCTGCCAATCTTCAGACATCGCCTCAGTTTCCCCATCAGTATGCCATTTGCTTATCACCTTTCTTCTTATACACACACCCCTACTTTGTCTCAGCATTTGCTTTTCTAAGCTAAGAGCCTGGGTGGGGTGAGGCTGCCTCTGGACATCAGCACATCCTTGAAAACGCCAGAGTGTGGTTCAACTATCACAGGCGGTGGAATACTGGCTTGGATGCTTGTGAGTAAAGTTTGAGTTAATGAATCAATGTATGAGGGAAATGTGGTGAGAAGCATTTCTGCCAGGCTGCAGCTACTTTTCCCAACTTCACTCCCTCACATAAATGTAAATAAATAAATACATTCATGATACAGACCATACAATCTTTTAAAAAACCATGCAACTTTTTTGTGAATGGGAATTGACTCCTGTCCCTCCACCTCTGCCCCCAATTTCCATGTAACATCAAAGCTAGTTTGAAGGAAACTCTTAACTTTCTTGGGAAAATTCTGAGGCTATATTAGGACAAAACATTAAATTATTCTGCTCCTGATTCTAATAACAGAAAGCATCTATCAACAGAAGCAGATCATAGGATTCTACAGATTGAAGCTTTTTCATAAAATAATTCTTTGGTATTTATACATGTTTCATGTGTTCTCAACATACATGCCTAACATAAAAGTAGTCTCAGAAAAGAACCTTGTTTAGTCACAATTTCCAACTAAGGGAATCACTAGGTGGTAAAACCCAGATTAAACTCTGCATGCTGAGTGATATGGTCCACAATAGTTTTTCATTTAATGTACATTTAGGAAAATTATCTGATCAAATCTAGACATTAAAATATCATTCTGGGCATTCTGAAATAGTTATTTCGTAATGACGAATCAAAGAAACAGAACGTGTGTAGGGTTAGGTTTATCTAAATTAAGTATCCAAGAGGTATTATTAGACCTTCTCTCACAATTCTCTTCTCTAAATGCACAGAAGAAGTCTCAGTCAAAATAAACTTTGTTTTAAAAAGAAAAAAATACAAGTGCTTAGAATAGCTAATAGTAGTAATAGCATCAAGGATATCAGTCTGAAATAATACCAAGCATCAATCATGATGAAGAAACTGAAGGGAAAGAGATAGATGAGAACATGTTCTTCCTCTGATCCTACTAAACCTGATACATAATTCTGTTCTTTTCAAAAGATCCAATAGAAGAAATACTCACCACCCCATTGATCCCATTCTTAAGTGGCTGCTTCGGTACTAGTACGAGGTAGGTGACGATCCCCTTTTCCTTTAGGTATTCACATCGTGACCCACCATCTCCTGGTTCCACCTCAAATTCTCCTTTCAAGCAGTCCATGGTGCTCTGAGAAATGTGTACACGCCTAAAAGGACCACAGAAAATGCAGTCAACCTTAATACAGGAGAAAATGTCAGAGCTGTTGGGAAAAAAGGCTGGAGAAAAGTCCAGAACTTCAAGGACTTTCAGAATTTACACAAACAGAACACACCACTGTCCTGAAATACACAGAAAAGTATTTTTCAACATAACAGCTTTGATAATCACAATAGATTTTGATTATAATAGTAAAATCTAATACAAACTGAACTTAAAGAGAAAAAAAGAGTAAAAAGTACAAGGAAAAAGGAAAAAAAGAAAAAGAAAAGAATATAATAAGAAAGAGAAAAGAAATATGTAAAGAAGTGACTTCCAAACGTCATCACATGTATAAACAAATATAGTGACTCTTCACCCCCTCTAAGGTTACAAACATTTATCTCTTCATCACATATCCCATCCCTTATCTATAGGCAAATCCATAAAACATCATCTTTTCAGTCTTGGTGTCAGCAGAAAGTCCATAAAGTTCACCAGAAGTAAAAACATACCTTGTTTTAACCTTGATCAAATAAATCAACTTTATATTCCTTCCTTTTACTTCTAACAGTCTTAATATTTAGTTCATTCAAATATTGTCATAGGATTTGATTTCTCTTCATTTCTTCTTTATCCCATCCCACAGAGTTTTTTGGGTCTTTAACAAGCCTCTTTTGTAAATAAAACATACCTTGTTTTAACCTTGATCAAATAAATCAACTTTATATTCCTTCCTTTTACTTCTAACAGTCTTAATATTTAGTTCATTCAAATATTGTCATAGGATTTGATTTCTCTTCATTTCTTCTTTATCCCATCACACAGAGTTTTTTGGGTCTTTAACAAGCCTCTTTTGTAAATCCAATACAAAAAAATTATCTAAGTCACTTTCTTGGTTTATCATTTATATTTCCCTTCTGATTTTTAAAACATCAGCTAGTTTCTTTTGTATATCCAGTGAGATATCCTTTTCCAAGTCATTCTTTTGGCCTGTCATTTGTAAATTCACTTTTGGTACCATCTGTCTTACCAGATAAAATTTGTTCCATATCTGTCATTTCTTCAATAACATCTTTTGGACGTGGTCTACCCATAGAGTCAGACATCATGACTAACACTGTTGACATTGTGTGTTTTTCTCCACCTAGAATCTTTAGTTCTCTCTAGCATCCAGTTTTTAAAATCATAAAATTACTTGCCTTTGTTATATCTTGCAAAAACCAAAACGGATCTATTTCCCACAAGAAGCTGTTTGTTCTTTATAATTAATCCCAAAATCTTATTGTAAAAGTTTCTATACTCCAAATTTATCTGGACCCTTAGGCCATTTATAACTTTCTAAGACCAAAATCTTTTAGCTTTTTGCTGTTTATTTCAAATTCTTTAAATTCTTATGATTAAAATTTTCTTTCATTCAGGATTGAAAGCAAGGTCACCCAGCATTTTTAAATTTGTCATTCTGAAGGTTTCAAATAGCTTAAAAGTAGTTAATAAGCAACTTCCGAAAGTGATTAGAAAGTGAGGTTAGCAAAATTAGTGTCCTTGAAAAGGGGCCAACCATGATTGCAAGCCAGATGACTATTCCCATCATCTCCCAGCACTCACACCCATGGGAGACTGCTGTCCTGTGTTCTCTTCACAGGGAGCAACCGTCCAGAGCACATGCGGGCAATGTCCCATCCTCTCCTATCCAGAGGAGTTCCAAGGAGTTCCAGTCTATTCACTGGTTCCTTGGTCTTTGTTGCAGTTGTTGGCTCCGCTTTCATAGAGACATCTTCAGTCCACCATTCCTCCCCGGAAGCGCACAATAGTACATTAAGTACTATCTTTCCCATGTTTTATGACACCATTTTCAAAATAAGTGGCAACTGGATGCTGCCCAAGTGCACACAAATATCATGGCTTCATAAACTAGAAACTCCTTGCAGTCTGCACTTCTGGAATGTGAAGGATGCCAAAGCTAGGAGGTACTGCTTTTCAGTTGAAGTACCAGCGCTTTGGAATAGTCTCCCAACCAAGATCAGACCAGCCCCTTCCTTAATGGCTTTCAGGAGGATATTAAAAACTGAGTTGTTTCAGGGAATATTCTAGTTAAGTTCATGAGCTCCACTATCTTTTATGTTACTTTTATTTTTGTTGTTTTATTTGGGTTTTGATTTTTTTGTTTGTGTTTTGTTTGTATTGTTATTTTAGACCTACTGCAGAGCTTTTAATGTTTTCATATCATGTGAGCTGCAAGAGTTATTAGATTGTGGTGGAATATAAATAAACCCTTGAGGGAGAGATGGTTCCAGTAGCTCTAAAGGAACTGGTGGTCTGGCCCTTCCTCAGGAAACCTTTGCTGGATTCAGCAGAGTTGGACAATTTTCATCCAGTCTCCTAAAAAGAGACAGTTGTTAAGAAGGAGGTTGCAGCTTCAAAGGGTACTGGAGGAAACAGTTTATCTGGACACTTTCCAGTCCAGTTTCAGACCAGGATATAGCACTGAGATGGCATTGATTACACTTCTGGATGACCCGTAGCGTTCTTAGGACTGGGGAGTGCATCCCTCCTAGCCTTCTTTGATCTCTCAGTGACCTTCAGTACTATCAACCACTGTATACTTCTGGACCAGATCAGGGGATTGGGATTGGGAAGTATGATTTATTGTAGTTCTCCATCTCCAGGGCTGGTTCTAGTCAGTGTTAGTGGGGAAACAAAAGTCTAACCCTAGGCCCTTGCTTTGCATATTTCTACGACTTTGTAAATCTTTCGGTCTAGGATTCAGAGAGGGCCTCCATTCATTTTCCTATTGCAGAAATTTAGCACCACAACCTCTTGTTTTAAGCAGCAATTATTTATTGGTTTGCTTACAAAATAAGGGGCAAAATATTTCTCCTTAAAATGCTTCCCAATATTCTTCCCCCCAAAATTAAAAAAAATAGTTGAGAAATGTCAGCCCTATATCCTGGTGGCCAAGAAAGCCCAGAAGCTTTTTAAAAAGCTTTTTAAAAACATTTAAAAGCCAAACAAATATTGACTGCCCTGCAATATACGAACAGTTGTTAAAATCAATCCTCTTGACATTCTGGAAATCCCTCAAGACCTGGTTATGTCACCAGGCCTGGGGGTCCTAGGGAACCATATCAGGATTTTCTCATGGGAAGAAATTCATCCCGTTATCTGTACAACAATATTATGTCTAGC